TGTGTGTGTGTGTGTGTGTGTGTGTTGTGCATATGGGCTTGTGTATGCAACTCCTACTTGATCCTCAGGATTAGCTACTGAGGGCTGCTATTATAAAGACCACAAATGAGCTGGATTAAATGATGGGACATTTATTTCTCCTGCCCTGGAAGTAGTACTGTTGGATTCTAGTGAGGACCTTCTTCTCAGCTTGCAGATGGTGACCTCACTTCTCACTATGTGCTCATGTGGTTGAGTAGGATCTCTGGTGTCTCTTCCTCTTCTTGTTTTTATAAGGGTATCAGTATACTGAATTAGGGCTCTACTTTATGACGTTAGTTCACCTTAATCACCTTCTTCAGGGCACTGTCTTCAATGTAGTCACATGGAGGTGTAAAGCTTCCATATATGAAATTTAGAGAAACAGAACTTAGTTCACAGCAACCAGGGTTTCTTCTCTACCTAAGTTGAAACTAGTGCTATTTTCATTGCTGTAGCAAGTGTACCATGTCAAGAACTGAAGTCAATTATGGGGAAAGAAAACTCCCGATATTTATTTTAAACAATGTTGTGGATGAATCCGTACGTTTGTGAAGTATTTTAAGAAACTGGGAGCTGAAGTTTTATTTACCTCTAAATGTACTTTTTTGTATCAGGCTCATTCCCTGAGGAAACTCCTAAAGCTGGTTGTCCAAATCACTAGCCTGTGAAGGAAACTAAGTAAAAGGCAAGGGAGCATGGAGCTGGAGATCAAATAACCTTCCAATTATCAGCTTCCCCAGGCACTCTGTCCTTGAAGCTTCTCTGTGCTCATGTTCACAAGTTTCAGGTTTACATTCACTTTTTCTAGCAGAAGACAGCTCATGTTTCCTTAAATAACAAGTTGAATCATTTAATGTGAAAGTGAACTGAACATATACTACCTTATGCGAATGGCTGCTGTTATTTACTCTGTAAGTTTATGAGCAATCTACTCTTCTACATATGTATTATTGTTTCTAAGGATCTCACTCATTCAACACATTTATTATATAGCCATTGTGACACCAAAGTGAAAATATAATGAGATCAAACACATAACACGATGATGCCATGCACAAGATGTGGTATTTGTGTTATGGCCCCAGAGTTTGCTACTCTAATTTTTTGGTGATAAACTGATTATAATAATAGTAATGATAAAGTGGGAACCTGCTCTGTGCTGAATTCTATTCTGTGTTTTTTAAAAAATGTGAAATAGGAAGAAAAGGTCCAAAGGGGAAGGGGAAGTGTTGGGGGGGTGGGAAAGAAGGGATAGAAAAAATATGCTAAGTGTTTTAATAGACAACCTCAATTCATTCTGACAAAAATCTTATGGTGGTTGTAATGCAACCCCTATTAAATGAGAAAGTAGATGTAACAATTGATATAAATAATAATAAAATAATAATGAATTTATTTTTATGTCTTCATTTCTAAGCAAAAAATTATTAAATGGAATAGTACAGGGTAAAGGATTTTCTCTATAAATGAAGGTGCTGCAACAATTAGAGTGAACCAGAGAATCACACAACCTACAGGCATTACCTAAGATTATCCTGATTCAGCCTCAGAGGTTGCCTAGTGTTCAACATCGTTGTTTCAGTTTTTAATAAACAGGGTTATACATATGTCCTCACTTGCTTTTTCTAACTTTCTCAGAGACTAGCTCCTTTTGGGTATAATCATAATGCCTGATTCATTGGTTTCCACATCTGTGTAACCCCTTAAAAAAAGCTAGAAATCTTTAAATAGGTTATGTACCAAAGATGTGCTTAATTTAGTTTATTGTTTTTTTCTGGTACTGAGGATTGAACCCAGTGCCTCTGCACAGGGATATATCCTTGGGCCTTTTTTTTTTTCTTTTCGAGACAGAGTCTTGCTAAATTGTCCAGGCTAGGCTCAAATTCTCCTGCCTTAGCTTCCCACAATGCTGGGATTATAGGCATATGCACCATGCTTGGTGCAAAGATGCATTTTCAACACAATATACAATATTTGGAAGCATGTATATTGCCTATAATATTAGGTCAGAGGGTACAAATAAGAATTCCTAATGTTTACCCTCTAGTAATGCCTATTTGTTAAATAAAAATTAAATTAATCATACTCCTGTTTTGTTATTTTACAAATGGAAGAGCTACAGAATAGAAAGGTTAAGTGCTGTGTCTAAGGTCATACAGCTCACTAATAGTAAAACAAGAGCAAAATCCCAGGTGTATCTATTCCAAATCCATTGCCCTTATGTGAATGGTAATGCCTTGCTATTAGAGATTAGTTTGCAAATCATGTAGTTTTCTTTTGCATCATACAATATACCAATCCAGATGTTAGGTATTGGGGACTCTCTTTGATACAGAGTTACTATAAAAGGACACAAATACTTGAGTTCTATTTTACACATCTGTGAAACTTGAGCATAAGTAATCCTTCTGTTGTGCCAGCAGTTGGTAAAATGTTCTACAGATTAGGCTAATGCACTTTGCCTCCTTTTGGTGGGATGGCAGTGATGAGAAGAGAGTGGCTGTGTTTCCCAGAAGAATAATCACACTGTGGAATGTTATTATGATTTGGTGACTCTGAATATATTATTTTTATTAGCATAAATTCTTAGTTTGCCAACACATGTGCCAATCAGCTTTTCATTACTATAACAAATGCCTGAAATAGTAATAGTTTTAGTCCACAACTCCTTTACCGTGAGGCAGAATGTCATGCTGGACACATGTGGTAGAGCAAGCCATTCACCTTGTGGTGGGAAAGCAAAAGAGAGGAAAAGGAAGGGTCTGGGGTCCCACTGTCCTGTTCAGGTGCATACTCACCATGATCTAACTTCCTCCCATTAGGCCCAAATCCTAATGCCTCTACCATCTCCCAGTAGTGCCAAGATGGGGACCAAGGCTCTAATATATGGGCCTGGGGTAAAGGCCCAAACTATAGCAGGACATTAACCATATACTTTGGTAAGATATTGGTTGACTACAAATATTAAATCTGTGTCATTTATAGATTATTTATTGAGAAACTGAACCAAGGAGATAGTATCCCTGGTTTAAATTCTTTTATGAGTTTTAAAGATTAATCAGGTGAGGTCAAGCAGGAGAACAAAATGTAACATTTGTTTATTTTGTGTGAAATGAAGATATTAATGTCGAGTACAACCCCAATGAATGGCATGAAATAAATACTTCCTATTTTTATTAATCCCAATGCAATGACTGTATAGATTAGGAGCCTTAAACTAGAACACACAAATCTTTGGCATTTCTTTTTGTCACATTGAGCTTGACTAGTGTATTGAACAAATTTAGTGGCTTCTTCTTAGGGGGTGCCTTCTGTAGTACATGAAAAGGATTTTCTTATTGTCTGCAACTTTTGTTGCATTTATTTTTATGTTAATATTTAACATAAACAGTTCTACTTATTTTTAGCATACTGAAATTATGGTTAATATTGTTTAAATGAATAAAGGCTCTTCATTTTAGAATACAGATATAGATTACATATAAGCTTGGACAATGGGCCAGAAAATAAATTTGGAATCTTCTACCAGAATAATGAGTAAAGCCATAGAATTGTGACCTTTGTATGAATCTAAACATAGACATAATTAGTAAAATTTATTTAATGCTTGTATTTTTGTGTGTTTCAGTTTGGATGAATTAAGACAGAAACTTATGCAAATTCTACCAGAGCCTGTTTGCTATGGGGAAGATGAGACCTTTTGCTTCTTTGTTAAGGTCAAGAGCATTTTCAGTGGGAGAAGGCTGACCATTGTAGACCGTAATGTACCACGCTCATGAACTGTGGTTTAATGAGAGTTAAGAAATTAGTTCACTTCCATTTGGAGCCTTGGAATCATGATGTTCTGTGATATTCTGTGAGGTTCTGGAGAGACCCTCCCATTCCTCCATGACTTTCCCTGGGTTTCCTCTTCAGCTCTGTTTCAATAAAATTGCCCTTTCTGTATTCTTCTAGCTATCATTTCTTTAACTTTTTGGTTTATTACTGAATTTTCAAACATAACCATGTGCCCCTTACTGATGAAGGAACATTTGGGGGAATGTGGTGTTAGGTGGATTTCATCCTTGTGTAAACATTCTAGAGTGGACTTACACAGACCTAGGTGGCATGAGGCATACCGCACACCTAGGACACATGGCACATCTTCAGGCCACACACCTGCACCTACTGTTCTGAGTACTCCTGGTAGGTGTAATAGTCTGGTGAGTATTTGTGTATCTAAATTTAGAAAAGGTGCAGTGAATATGCTAGGTGGTAGAAAATGTTTACCTTCACTATAATTTTATGAGATTACTGCTGTATATGTGATTTGCTGTTGATCAAAGAATCCTAATGCAGGAAATGACTATACTTGTTTGAACTTCTGTAGCTTTATACTCTAGTTGACTTCCCTTATGTAAATCTCATTTCTTCTATTTTCTTTTTTTAAAATTCTTCTGTTTTCTTTGAACCTTTATAAACTATTTCGTTCACTATCCAAATTCCCACATGAAATCTGATTAGAAGATATTGAAGTGATTCCTATGTTCAAATAGTTTAATATTTTTCTTGCTCTGACTTTTTTGTGTGGTTTTTGGAGGAATCTGAAAACAAGCAATGCTTTGCAAAATTAACTGGCACTGAGAATGTATCTCTATAGTTTTGTAACATTATCACAAATGTTGACAGAAATAATTGAATCATAAAAATTCTTCAGATGCTCTAAAGGACTGCATTTTTTGCAAAATTATAAGGGCTGGCCTTAGTCAAGGGGAGGTATAGACAGGGACAACGCTGGTGCTATTGTTTGTAACTGGATTGTTTCCCAAAGGCACATGAGTTAAAGGCATGGTCCCCATCCTGTGGTGTTACTGGGAGGTGGACAAAACTTCAAGAGGTTGGGTCCAGTGGGAAGTTTTAGGTCATTGGAAGCATGCCTTGAAAGAGGTAGAGGCACCCTGGTCTCTTCCTCTTTTTTTCTGGTCAAGAAGTGAAAGTTTTATTCAACCACACACTCCTTACCACGATATGCTGCCTCACCACTGAATCAAGAGGAACATGACCAACCGACCATGACATGAAACATTAAAAATTCTATGCCCAAAATAGCCATTATTCTTCATAAGTTGATTATCTCTATTTGTTATATAATAGAAAGATGGTATTATACTGATGAGTTTGGCTTTTACTTCTACTTGAAATAGGCAGAGTTTGCTTCGGTCTTTGCAGTTTGTGGCTGTTTTGATTCTGTGAATAAGTTCAAATTTAGATTATAAATACAATGGATACATGAGATAAGGGAGTGGTTTGGATCATGTTGTGGTACAGAATTCAAATATATCCTTCTAAACTTCACCTATAGATGTAAGAAGTTGTGCACATGTCTTTTTCTCTCTGCTGGGAAAGAAAGTACACACAAGGAGAAAGAGAGATTGTCTTGGCATTGTTCAGTGGTACTATTAATTACTTGTGCATTTGTCTTTATTATTATTATTTTTTGTACTGGGGATCAAACTCAGGTCCTTGTTCTTTCAAGGCAGGTGGTGGCACCACTGAGCTAAATCTCTTGCCCCAAGTCTTGATGATTTTTGATGACCTTGCTTAAATGGTTTTGCTCAAATTTATACTTTATATTTAGGATTTGTCTATTTAAATGAACTACTTTGAGTCAAGATAATTTGTAAATACTTTTAACTAATTGAACACCATTTTATTCAAAAAGAGCAATACTTTTTCCCATATCCTATCAAGGTGTTAACCCAAAGTACAGTTATGCTACTTTGGTCTCTGCTGAGGGGAAAAATAAATAGGTTAGAAGGTTGTGGCTTTCTCTGTTATTTCTCTATTACTTCACAGGATCTGGTGTAATCTTTCCTAAGACTTTTCTTCCACCAGCTGTTTGGAAGGAAATTATGTGTACAGCCTATGATCCCCAAGGAGGCACCTTTATGGCAGTGGCTCTTGGTGGGTGCTTGTGTTTATTGGATGTTTAAAAATCTAAATCTTTGCTAGGTTAGTATGGTTCACATCAGATCATAAATATAGAAAAATTCTTCAGAGCATGCACATAGTAATTCCTTCCTAAAATGAAGCATAAAATCTGGATATCTGAAATGGTTCATATGTTGGAACTGAGTGCAAGATTGAAGGAAGTCAGGCAGAATACAATGGCCAAGTTGCTCTGGTGTTGTCTGTGGTGGCCAAACCTTCTCTGGCTCTTGTGTTTCACTAAGGTTGGTTTCTATTCTTGATTTGTGGCTGCATCCCAAGCAGTCTGTGGGCCAGCTACCTTCTGATTGAATAGATGAGTCAAATATCACATGGGCAACATAACTGACTTGCTACTGGGATATGGGGTCTGGTTGGAAGAAGTGGGTCACTGGGGTTATGACCTAGGAGGGTCCAATGTCTCTTACCAGCTCCTCACTTCATTCTCTACTTCTTGGCCGCCATAATGTGAGCAGCTTCCCTCTGCCCAGTCTTTCCATTGTACTACTTCTGCATGGAGCCAGCTGACTATGGAGTGAAACTGTTAAAAACTGTCAGCTAAAATAAACTTCTCTTTGAAAGTGTTGGGTATTTTGTCCCAGTGAGGAAGAAAGTGACTAAGACAAGATGGGCAAACAGCGTGGATATTGTAGTGATTATGAGCTTCTATTTAAATTGGCTCATTTGTCAAGTATAATTTTATTTCACATATACACTTATTTCATTCAGTGTGAAGGCATTTGACATGTAAATGGATGAGAGGTAGGGAAGCAGAAAAGGAGTCGGGGAACAATTAAGTTCAAGATAACAGACTAGGGGGAGATAAAGGTGAGCAAGCCTTGAAAATCATGCTGTGTTCTCTGTTTTTCCCTTTTGTATGCTGTTGCTTTTTGCCTACACATCACTGCCACGGGACTTGGAATTTCCAGCTCTTTTTTATGATTTTCCTAAAACTCTCCAGCTTGAAAACATGCTCTACGGTGAAGCTTTTTGTTCATGGTATGTAAAGGAACCTGAAAGAGAGAGATAAAAAATACCTTTTAGTGAGTCTGTGTTTCTTGCCTTTCTGCTCCTTACTTCCTGGCTGCCTTTGCTATATTTATAGAGTACAGTGTGATAATTTGATATATGTTTACAGTGCACATTGATCAGATCAGAGCAATTCAGTTTTTTCCATCTGCTTAAACATTGGGCATTTCTTTATGTAGGAACTTTCAAACTCCTTTCTTCCTATTCTTTATGAAATATACAAAACATGTAGTTTTGTATATTTATAAGCTACTGTCACCCACCACGTTATAGAATGCTAAAATGTTTTCCTTTTCAATGGTGTTTTAGTACTCAATTTAATAAGTGTTTTTATTTTGTTCCTGTGTCTTTATTTCATCTTGCTGATTTGGCTATGCATAGTGTACTTATTAGTGTTTCTGGTCTTTTTGATTGATCTTATACATTTTTCATTGGTTATGACCTTGCTTTACACGTTGCCCTAGGTCATTTTTCATTCGTAATTCATGGCCATTGTTGTCTGGAGGAAAGGTATTGAGTCTGTGTGATTCTTTTATTATCAGGGCTTAAATGTACCTTAGTTTTTGATATTTTATTTTGCCACAGTAAAAAAGCAACATGGAATAATACTCAGCCATAAAGAATGAGAAATTAGAGTCATTCATAAGAAAATGGATGCATGTTAAGGTCATACTCTTAAGTGAAATAAATAAGTCACACATGTGTAAATACCAAATAGATTCTCTGGTGTGAAATACTAAAAATGTAAATAAGTTCCAAATGGTATAATTGACAATGTGAAATAGGAAGAAAAGGGCTAAAGGTGTAGGGAAAGTGAGAAGGGTAGGGGAAAGGAAATAAGGGAAAAGAAAAAAATAGGAGAAAATGGAAACAAAGCTTTTGTAAATAGGGGAGGGAGGAGGGGGTGAAGGGAGGGAAGGAGTATGGGGAAAAATGAGAAGCAAGTCCTGTCACATAAAGGTAAAAGATCCCAATGATGAATGTAACTGTACTGTGCACCTAACAAGTACCAATAAACTCAATGAGAAAAAAAAAGCAACATGAAATCTACCCTCAATATTTTCTAAGTGTCTAATATAGTATTATTTGTCATAGGGACAATATTGCACAGCAGATCATGAAACTTTTTTTTTTTTTTGGTAAGGGGGATCAAACTTAGGACCGTGCACTCATGAGGTAGGTGTTGAAATCCCTGGCCTGATTGTGGAACTTTTTAATCTTGCAAAATTAAAATTTTATGCCTGTTAATTAGTCATTTTCCACTTTCTGCTTTCCCCAGATCTTGGAAATATCATATAAAGAGTTAATTTCTAAAATACAGAAAACTCCTGCAACTCAGTAGCAAAATCAATTGGCCCAATAAAAAACAGACTACATGCTAGAATAGAAATCCCTCCGAAGAAGAAATACAAATGACCAACAAGTAAATGAAGATACCCAATATCACTACTCATCAGAGAAATGAAAACCACAATGAGTTATCATTTCACATCTGATAGGATGGCTGTTACTAAAAAGAAAAGAGCCAACAAGGATGTAGAGAAATTGAACACTTGCTCACTGTTGTTGGGTATGCAAATGGTGCAGCTGCAATGGAAAATGGTACAGATCTAGCATGCAATCCAGAAATCCTACTGCTCAGAATTTTGCCAAAAGAATTGAAATCAGAATCTTTTTGCCAACTTACCTACCTTTATTTTAGCCTTGGGATACAACAATCACCCTTCTTTTACATTTATCGCTGAATGGTATGAGTTTATATGTTTTTGTC